AACTCAAAGGCAGGGAGGGGGGGCCCGACCAGGGCCCAGGCTGGGGAGGAGCCTGCAAACAAGGTACATGTCCTTAACCGGAATCGAACCCAGGACCCTTTGGTCCACAGCACGACACTCTATCCACTGAACCAAACCAGCCACGGCTGACTCAGCACTTTTGTGTCTGTGTAAAATCCTGTGTCTGGTGTAAAAGAGAGAAAGGGAGCGAGGGCACTCATTGCTAGAAAGTGAGGGCAGCTTAGGGGTTTAGCTCAATGGATAGAGCATTGGCCCGGGTTCAATTCCGGTCAAGGGTATATGCCTGGGTTTTGGACTCCACCCCCAGTAGGGGGCATGCAGAGGCAGCCAATCAATGACTCTCTCTCATCATTGATGTTTCTATCTCTCCCTTTCCCTTCCTCTCTGAAATCAATTAAAAATATTTATACACCACACACACACACACACACACACATTAAAATAACCAGAAAGTGAGGGGACTCATTGCCTTTTAAAATCTGCTCAAGCATTTAGGGCTTTCGTTCATTTAGTGTATGTAGTCTTATTGAATGCTTACTATTAATTCAGTCATTTTATTGATACAAGCTCTTCATGCATACAGTACCAAGCACATACATTCTACTGCTTATTCATATACTGAATACCTACTATTCACAGCGTTTTAAGCATTAATTAAGCACAAAAGACCCTTCTCTTTACTTATCAACCCCCAACGTCTACCAATGACAGCTAACTTCACTGAGCACTTATTGGTACCAGACAGCTTTAATTTCTTATATCTGATCTTCGCTGATGAGATAGGTACCACCCTTAGTCCCCACTTATAGACAAGGAAACAGAAGCACAGAAAGGCAGTGCCTGTGTAAGGCTGCACGGTGAGTAGAACCCAAGTTCTCTGGCTCCAGAGTCCATGCTCTTTATTTTTTTAAAGATTTTCAGAGAGACAGACAGAAACATCAATGTGAGAGCGAAACATCATTCAGCTGCCTCCTGCATGCCCCCAACCAAGGATTGAGCCTACTACCCGGGCATGTGCCCTGACTGGCAATCGAACCAGCAACCTTTTGGTGCATGAGACGACAGCCAACCCATTGAGCCACACTGGCCAAGGCAAGTCCATGCTCTTGGTTCCTCTGCTACACTGGACCTCTACTGGGGCCCAATCTTCAGATCCTCATTCAGCAAACCTTTACCAACTGTCTACTATGTGTTAGGCCCTGTGCTAGACACTGGTGATGGCAAGGTGGGGTCTCAGCCCTGGAGGGGGTCAAAGCACCTGGCTAGACGCCAAGGAATAGGACAGTCTTGGATCCCGCCTTCTAGGAGCCACCATTCCTGGGAAGAAATAACGCACGTTTCTACACCAGACTCACAGTCTAGAAAGCATCTCAGAGAAGATTTAATAAAGTTCTGTGACAACTCCCAGTCAGGACACATTACCTGCAGGAGTGAAGGGAAAACTGGAGAGAATCTGTAGAGGTGTATGAGATGGGGTTTGAAAAAAGGGTAGGAATTGGAGGGGGCCTGGATGTCCAAGCAAAGGCTGGTGGCAGGAGGACACAAAGGATGTATGGGGAGCAGTGGGAACACCCGGGCGCTCTCCCAGATTCCCTTCCAGCTGCACCCCCACAGGGCCCACGCGTACCTTCCCTTTGAGGAGCTGCTGGATCTCGGGCACATAACTCTCAGAATCCGTGGCGATGTAGACAGACCGGGCCTTCTGGGCCCACACCCAGACCTCTACGGCCCGCTTGATTTCCTTCAGGTCTGGGAGGCACATAGTCATGGTGAGAGGGGTCGCTGAGTTGCGGCTGTAGCCCACACACTGCGGAGAGGCCATGAAGTGCGAGTCCGCAGTCCCATCCTTCAGCATGGCACAGGCGTTCTTCTACGGGGTGGGGCCGGGGGGACAGAGTTAGGAACAGCAACTGGCCTGGAACCCCAGAAGCCAAAGGTGGTAAGTAGAAAAAAGGCAGGCTCAACTATGTTTTTTGTTGTTTTTTTTTTAAAGCATCGAGGGAAGAGGGAAATGCATCAAAACAGTAACAGTTGTTTCTGGGGAGTGGGATATTGGCTTTTTATAAAGTTGGTTTTTCTTTGTGGTTTTTTTTTTTTACTGGTTTTACTGCATTATCTGGGACTTCCAGTCGAATTCTGAACCGGGGTGGTGATAATTGGAAGCCTTATCTGATTTCTGACTTCAGTGGGAACAGGTCTGATAGCTCCCATGAAGTACGTGTTTGCTGTGGGTTTGAGAGAGATAGCCTTTATCAAGTTAAGGTGGGTCCCTTCTATTCCTGCTTGGTTAAGAGTTTTTTTAAATCATAAATGAGTGTTGACTTTTCTCAAATGCTTTCTTGGCCTCTGTTGAGACGATTATATGATTTTTCTTCACTGGGTGTTAATATAGTTAATATATAATTGCATTCCTAGGATAAATTTTACTTGTATGGATTTTACTTGCTGATCTCTTACTTAGGATCTGTGCATCTTTGTTCATGAGTGAGAATGGGCTATATACTTTTCTGAGTTGACCTTACCTGAGTTTGGTATTAGTGCTATGCTAGCTTTATAAAAAATAGCATCTTCTCTCTTTTTATGTTCTAAGAAAGCACAGATGAGAACTATCTGTTCTTGAAGGTTTGACTGAAACTACTCATAACGTATTCTGGGTTTGGCTTTTCTTTGTGGAAGTGGGGCAGGAAGGGGGTCTAGTGGGTACATGTGTGCTTACCTTCTCAATTGACTCTGAATGAATTTTGATCTAATTTCTATATTTTTCAAGTCTTTAATAATGAGTATTTCTAACACATATGCATATATTTATCTGCTTATGTAAACTAAGGAGACTATATTACTCCTGTTATTTTCACACAGAGGATAATCTCATGAGGCTTCTGCACATTTAAGCAGCCTCCAAATTCAGAGGATGACATCTTCATTTCTTGGGAGCCCCACCCACTCTCCAGAACTTGTTTTTAACAAGTAGACTATTGACTAAACACTGAGCTGGGACAGAGGACTACTGGAGTATGAGTCTGAGCTCTCTGGCTTGCTGCCTGACCCAGAGTCTAGCTTGATACTTCAGTTTATCCATCTGCAAAACCAGGATCAAAATGGCAACTTAGAACAAAAGCTGGCAAGCAAGCTCTTTGGAGCCACATGTTTGACGTGTCTATGGCAGGATCATGAGATATAGTGGGAACTCTCATGGCTGGGACTTGGTACAATGGGTTCAGTGTTCAATCCCCGAGGCATGAGCCCTGCTCAGGGACATGTCCGACCCATCCAGGAGAGAAAGGGAAAGTTACCCAGTCGGAGCCAATGCGTAGGTGAATAGCGACATAGGGCTGGATGAGGTGGGTGTGGATCAGGGCCTCTCCTGTCTTCACCATCTCGTCTGACCATACCATGTACTTCTGCAGTGGCCTGTGCTCTTCCCGGACAGGGAACTGGGCTGGGGCCCCTGGCAGGGCCAGCACTGGATGTTCCTCTGGAGAAAATCTAAGACCAAAACACAATGAGGGGAAGTCAGACAGAATGCACAGAGAGCCTGGCTATCACCCCCACGGGAAGAAGGATGGTGTTACACCATGTCCTAGAGACGCTGTTCAGAGGCGCCTTTAACATGCAAGAAGCATGAGAGGTTGTGAAACCCCAACGGGCTGATAAGAAACTGTGGCGGCGGCGGCGGCGGCAACAGGCACAAAATGCAATACTGTCCCGCCGCCTGGAATTTACAACCTTCTTTGCTTGTTTAACAATTAAAAATTTCCAGTAGAGCATTCCAATCTTTTGTATATCATGCTGGCTTCCAATCTGTGGTGTGGTAATTCACTCCAGGGTGTGGTGTCTGGACGGAGCCTTGCCCTTTTACCCACATGGCGGGATTGGGATGTGCAGCTGCTTCCAGAGGGCAATGCACAGGCCACACTCACAGGGAATATGTACTTTGAATCAGCTCATTCACTCAACACTTCACACATTTACTGATTGCCTACTATGTGCTGGAGCCCAGGGGAGAACAAGACAGGCACGGTCCTTGCCCTCATGGAAAGCATCAGAGTTCTACAGATGCCCATCATCAGACCTCCCTCAAAGGCTCTTCTCCCCCTGAACACGATGCACCTTGTAATTACTTCAACCTATCTTTTCTGGACTCACGCTTCTGAAGTAATGCCTCCCTGTGCTCAGAGCAGTATCTGGAACACATAAGAGCTCTACTAAGATTTGCTGACTGAAGGGATGAGGAGCAAACCTGTGTTCCTCTCGTAACTAAGCCCAGACCTATCCCAGCAAATGAATTCTGCTACCCCATAAACTTTCAAATGCCAGATGTCTGCAGCCTTCCTCCTTCCACCTGTCACGCCTTCCCTCACTAGGCAAAACCCTGTTCTTAAAATTATGACACAGGCACAGCACTCTGGAAAATGGTTTGGCAGTTTCTCATAAAACTAGACATGCAACTACCATACAACCCAGAAATGAAAACCTATGTTCACACAGGAACCAGCAGATGAATGTTCAGAGCAGCTTTATTCATAAAAGCCAAAAACTGGAAACTCAGATGTCGTTCAGTAACTGAATGCTTAAACGCACTGCAGTGCATCCAACCAATGGAACACTACAGCTATAAAAAGGAACAAACTATTGTTTTCAGGCAACTTGGATGAATCTCAAGGGAATTATGCTGTGTGAAAAAAGCCAATCCCAAAAGATTACATACTGTATGACTCCACTTATATAACATTTTTAAAATGACAAAATAGGGAAAAGAACAGAAATAAAACTAGATTAGTGGTTGCCGGGGCCTATGGTGTGTGTGCATATGTTTATGAATATTTAGGGAGGTAGGTAGGTATTGTTATAAACTGGCCACACAATGATCTTATGTAGAACTGTTTGATATCTTGATTGTGGTGGTAGATACATGAACCTACCCGCATGATAAAATTGAATAGAACTAAATACACACGCCACACACACACACCATACACACACACACACACACACAAAGTGAGTACAAAATGAGAAATCTGAGTAAGATGGGTGGATTGTGTCAATGTCCTATAATACTGTCCTAGAATACTGTACTATATATAGTTCTGCCAAAAGTTACCTTTGGAAGAAACTGGACAAAGGGTACATGGGATCCCTCTATATTATTTCTTATAACTACATATGAATCTACAATCTCAATAAAAATTTCACTTAAAAATTACAAAATATTTCAAATACAGGAAAACACAGAAAATAATCCATATACCTAGAACCCAAATGAGCAGGTATTAATACTTTGCTTCAGATTAAAAATATACATACACCTAAAAAAGCTCTA